TCATCGCTCATTTGGTGTTTTCGAGCCAAATTATGAAGGGACAGTTTTAATGATAGAATTAATCCATTGTATTGTTTATGACCCATTGGAACACTCTTATCGATTTCACTATGTCCTTTATCAATGGTATGGGATGCTATGCCAGAGTATTCAGCGTTACAGTTGCAGATAGCCGATAGATGCCCTTGATCCCTGATATTTAACTGTCCATTGTGTCACAATCCCTTCACTTTCTCTTATAAGCCACGTTAGGACTTCAGCTGGGTTGTTTAGATGGAGTTTCTTAGCAACAAGCTTTCCCAATGTCATTTCATATTTTGTGGCAGATTCGTGACTACGCCCCAGCTTTGACTTAAAATTAACGAAAAGTACTCATTGCACATTTGACGTTTTCGTACTACTGCATGAAGGACTTCTTTAATTAAGAGTCCTAAGCTAGTGCCATTTCTTATCTAACCACTTCCATTACCATAACGCTCGTTCATATGAAGCCATGTTCTTTTACAATAGCACTGAGTCCAATGCCTGAGTATTCAGTATGGCATGACAATCGTGGATTGTTCAACGTTCTTTAATTCTGACATTAATTTGTCTGTTCATCATATCTATAATTCTGTCGCAGTCACGGATACCTATTTCATAAGCTATATTAAACACTACAGCTGGTTTGCATGTTTCTTTGATTCTTTGAAAAGGAGCATCCCCATCACTGGCATGATAATTACGCGTCTGTTTTTTATTGGTTTGTTTAAGTTAAATATCTACCCCTATTTCTGATAAAACACCTAGAACAGCACAGAAAGTCATTCGAGACATATAAACTCTTTTTCAGGTCAATAAAAAGATGCAACTGCCTAAATGTCATGGAGCAGTGGCCTACTAAGATAGTCCCTTAGACCACAAGTGCAAAAGCAGAGTACCATATGCTTATACCTAGCTATCGAGTAGCAGGGTATATAAAAGAAAGTAGGTGAAGTTTCTAACCGCTGGAATGTTGGTATTTCTTACACCTTCATGGCTGAGACATTTCTGCCATTGTTCTTTTCATTAAGTTAATGGTGAGGCTGATCTTCATTTCCATGCAATCAATCAATGCCGCTTAATTTTAA